GAAAAACAAACTCTTATTCACCATGTTTAGGAAATTTAGCAATATCTATCAAAATTTAAATTGCAGATACTGTCTAACCCAGTTATCTCACTTCTAATAATTTACTTTATATTTAATCAAATGTAAAACAATATATGCATAAGAACGTTTCTTAGAGCATTGTTTGTAACAACAACAAGAACAACAACAACAAAAAACTAGAAACAACTAGATCTCCATCAATGACAAGACCGGATAAACAAGGTATGATTAGCTATTCTTGACTACTATGCAACTGTAAAAACTAGCAAACAAAACAACAAAAAAATAAGGTAAATACATATGTAAGCACATAGAAAAATTCCATGATATAAACTGTATCAATAAATATGTTACAAATGTGTTTAAAAATAAACAAATGAAAAAAAATATGTATATACACAGTTGACCCTTGAACAACATAGGGGTTAAGGGGTGCTGATTCCCTGTTCAGTGAAAAATCACATATAACTTTTGACTCCCCCCAAACTTTACTAATGGCCTACAGTTCACTGGAAGCATTACCAATAACTTAAACTGTTGATTGACATATATTTTTTATGCTACATATATTATATACTATATTTTCACAATAAAGAAAATGTTATTAAGAAAATCATTAGAACAACAGAATACATTTACTGTATTTATTGACAAAAACCCACATATAAGTGGAGCCATGCAGTTCAAACCTATATTATTCAAGGGTCAGCTGTACAGATTCATACTTATATGTCTATGTCTTTATCTATTTCTATGTGCTGCCTATATTTTATAAATGTTAAATCGTCTGGAATGTTATTCACCAAACAATTAGCACCAGTGAGAGGCCACCATCATGACCTCATGGGAAATGCCATCCGTGGGAGAGTGATAGCAGAGCAGAACGTGACAGAATAGTTTGTAGCTCTTGGGAGATCCTTGTGTGAAGTCTGAGACATAATTGGGTAAGATTTTGTCAGAGGCTGGAAATCCTGCATCAGCAAGGGATGTAGCAAATACCCATGATTTTGGCGTTGGTTAAATGTGGCTACATGCATTATATAAATCCTAGGAAATGTGAGTTACAATTCCGTTCTTTAAAATTTCCATTTAGTTGTTTAATACTGAATAACAGATGAAAGACTTATATGAAAAGGGCTGTACAAGAGTAAAATTTGAGGCGGTATGTTCACCCAGAGGACACTCAAATGTTAAGGCTAACGTTAATAACAGCCATTTTTATAGAGCTTGATGATTGACAAAATGTGTTCACACAACAGTGTCTTGCTCATAGTCAAATGTCTTAAAATTAAATAATGCATCTACTTTGTTAGTATTGCACCATGTTAGATGAATACATTATGCATATATGGAAAGGAAAGAAGAAATATATATTAAATAATTTTAACTTTGTAATAAATTGAAATCAGTTATTCAAAATACTCTGCTGATTTATGGGTTAAGATTAGAAAGGAATACTTTAGTCATACATTAATATTTAAAGCAGAAAAACTAAATGAATGAATGTGAGTTTTCTGACACAAATGTGATTCTGAAAAGTACAAAGCATGTGAAACAAAAGTCATCTGATGAAAATTACAACAGGTTGTTTTTATTCAAATATTCATAAGCCTGAATCTATACTATGTTTTTAAGAACAAAATAAAGTTCATTCAAAATTCAAACCAAGATTTTTCTGGATTAGTAGTTTTAACTCTACTTTATAGAGATGTGGCCTTCATTTTGAGAAAACAGTCAATGGAGACCCAGTAAAGTGTTTGAATTAATTTTTATGTTTGAATCAGAAATCTGAAAACAGAAGACCTAATAGAGAAGGAAGTAGAAGGAAAGAGGAAGAGGAAAATAGGTGGGAGGTTGTTTTCAAGAATATCAAAGAACTATTTCAATGTCTATTGTAGATGTTTATTTCAAATTGAAAGTAGTATAAAGAGGAAGTTTATAAAAAATTCAGGGGAAAGAATTGATTCAACCCATGAGTTTCCTTAGCCTACCAAATAGAATTTTCTTCTACTTCTTTTTTGTTTTGCATACAATGTTATTTTAGGAATTCTATTTCCTTTTTTAAAAACAAGAATTAAAAGCAATACAATTAAAAGCAATACTGACTTTAAGTTTCTCTTAATCCATAGGAATTCTCTTCAGGGGAAAGGACGTTCTATAACTAGTATCCGTTCAATATTTGTTTCTTAAGGAAAAGAGCAGTAATAACAACAGAAGTAAAACTGATTGTCAATTTTGTTAGAATGCTTCCAGCAAAATGAGCTTTGCCCCTATCTAGGTAACATCAAATCAGCTGACGATTTAAGTAAATTCTAGTACCAAAACACAATAGTTGTTCTATCAAATAACCAGAATTGAAGTAAGAAAATAATTAAGTCAGTAGAAATTTCACTCAAACCAATTGACTCAATGGTTTTATTTAGATGACCTGGTAATCTTGGTTCACCCTAATAAGAACACATTTCACTCTGGGCAGAATTAGAAAGTAAAAAGGTAAAAAAAACAAAAACAAAAACAAAAACACCTCAATAGCAAAAATAGCTCAATTTGGCCAAATCTTATTGTAGTGAATTTCTGGAGCATATTTAAATTATATTTTTAAATGGTAGTGAAACAATGTATTAAATATTATTCCAAACAGGCCTTCAGTGTTTAGAAATAGTTTTTCTAAATCGAAAATATGTGATGATTTCCTTGTGAAAGAACTTTGATAAAGATCTCTAATTTTTATGATTAGATAATGTGTTGTTAATGTGGCATTTTTCCAATTGTAAACACGTAGAGTGAAGAAAGCCCTTCTAGTCACTTGCATTAATATCTAATTGATTCACTGATGGCTTGCTACATGATCCAAAATCTCAGTTATAATGCCTTTTAGGAATCTGTGCCAAGAGAATTATTTTTATTTCAATCTTTTTCAACATCTTTCATTTAAATACAGACTAATAATAGAGTCTTTTTCTTAGTGTTCTTTTTGTTTGTTTTCATATAAAATAAGGAATTACTCAAATAGGTAAATATGGTGGCTGGTTTGTAAAGTTAATATACAACTTATCTGGGGTTCTTGGAACTTGAAACTCTCTAGTATATCTCTTTGACACCAATAGTTGATCAAAGAAAGAGTTTAATAAATTTATCCAAATTTAGGAAAAATTCTTGCAAGTCTTAAAAATATCACCACACTTTTCTTTCCTGACTATATCAACTGATTATTTTAAACAAGCCCTCAAAGAGTAACTATTATCTTTTATAAATATTCTGGGTGCAAGGAGGATGGAGATAAAAACATAGTCTATGCTCTTAAGGAACACACAGACTAGAGCAGACGGATGTGAAGCATATAGTATAATATGAAGCGAAGCCATATGATATAGTGCAATAAGTGGTATGATACAGACATGAACAGGAGGAGGAGCAATTAACCCTGCCTGGTGTTGAATATAGAAAATTATCGAGGGAAAGTGGTTTGGGGGGGAGGTTATTTTTAATGAAATCGAAACTGAGTCTTGAAGATGGAGTTGAAGAAAGCAAGGCAGACAAGGTGGAGAAGATGTTATCCAAGGCCTAATAGGAAACATCCAGGGAATTACAAATCATGTATTTCGTTAGAAGGAGCATATTGAGAAGCTGCTGCAGATAAGACTAAATAGATGGCAAAAGCCAGATTATGAAGGGCCATCTCTTCTGAGCTAAGGACATTTTATTTTAACCTAAAAACTACAGCGAGTCTTCAAAGGCATTAGGGGATGATGTGAACGGATGTGCATTTTGGAGACTGCACATTGCCAGGAGTGTAGAGTGTGGTGCAGACATGTGTGATGAGCAGCGGAAAAATTAGTCAGGGGTCTCCTTGCAATAATTTAGATTTGAAAAAACTAGTGACATTGGGAGAAGATTAGGAAATAGACCTGAGATATTTAAGTAGGCTGTGCACCAAGGCTTAGCAATGAATTGGAGATCTAGGTAAAGCTGGAGAAAGAGAGAAGGATTACACCCAGGTTTCTTGCTTGGGAAACTATTACAGATGCAAATCCTATTGCTTTGCATTGTTTAAAATCATTACCTTTTTTCTTTAAAGCTATCCTTCTATTTATTTATTCCTTTAATATCACACTCCCCTTGCCCTCATCAATGAACACCTGGGAAGGTAAGGTGCCATGGACTATTCTACTCCATTCCAGCTAACTATATACTTTTCACTAACTTCACTGGTTGCCACATTGAGGGACTTTTCATTTACCTGTCATTCTTAAATTAAATACAGTAAAGATTTCCTACTGATAGAAAAATCAACCAGTTCAAATTTTGATATGCAGACCCATCACAGTGGAAAGATTCATAAAGACATAATGATTGCTATAACAGAACACTGAGATATTAAAATATGTTGTGCAAATTTTCTGGAAATTTCAAATAAGCAGATGTCCAGATAACAAACTGAACTTTTTCTTCTTTGTCCAGAAAACTAGAAATTCAGGACACATGTTCAGAATGAATTAGACATGTATCTCTGATATACTTGGTAGATATTGACTATATTACTATATTTTAATTATCTAAGGCTGTATACCAAGAAAAATTATTATGCCTGGTTCAAATAAAAAAGACAATATTTTCTCAACAGAACTTCACCTGATTTTTTATTATATTATTTTATCTAACAGTCTCCTATAGTATAACTACATTATGCAATTACAGTATAATAGATTGTATTTAGTATATTACCTTAGCTCAGTTAGTTAGGATATGGTTATTGTAGTAGAAGTTGCTAATTTCTCATTTATTCATTCTACTGTTGTTGTTGTTTTCCTTTTTGTAATAGACCCTTCCTGCATGGTCACCTATCTATATTCTCCATTACCTAGTAGCCCTTCCAGCTATTTGCATCTTATAACTTAGTTGTTCCAGTGGGATATGAGTAGAAATACGTACAGCTTTCAGGTCCTGTCCTTAAGAATAATTTGTTTTGGTCACATTACCTCTTTTTTTTTCTTTTTCTTCTCCCTTTGGTTGACAAAGGCAAGAACAGAAATTTTCTTAGCCCCAGAGATAGAGCCTGCATGATAAAGAAAACAATGTCAACTCATCAGCTTGGGTCCTGAATTACCATGTCAAGTCTTCCCACACTGACCATTTTCTCTTGCCTCGTTACATGAGAGAAATACATATTAAATACATATTCACCTTCTTTAAGGCACTCTATATTTTGTCTCTCTGTAACAGAAGATTATTCTCTATTAAGACTCATTCATACTAGTGATAATGACAACAAGGTTTTCAGCCCAGTGTAACACACCGGTGAGTGGTCTTCACACATGAGCAACTGTCTCAAATGCATCATAAAAGGAACAAGTTTTACAAAGGAACTGGGCAAGGTGGGGGGCTGAAGGATGGGGAATGTGAAGACAGATTGTTGCAAAGTGATCACCAGGGCTGCAAAAATAATGATGAATCACATGAATTGTTCTTGTTCACACTTTTCCCCCTCCACCCACTCCTAAGCTTTCTCTAATTCCAAGTTCAACATTTAGGAATTGAGTATTCCTAAAACAGTATTCTAACTGGAATTTGAGATTGGTTCAGAACTCTTATACACTGATAATGACCCATAGGGTAACCACCCTATGATTGATGAACTGCTAAGTGTCTATGTATCAAAAAACACTAAATTGACATGCCTTTCTTGCACTGTGAGTAAAATTTACAAACAAGGACACAGATGGTTAACAACTCGGTCATTTGGACTTTCCATTCTGAAAAAGAAAATCATTACTCATTTTCACTTCTTGCCTCCTACCAACTACATTTGGATTTTACACCTTAGACTGTGACATCTTACTTCTAAAAACTAAAATGTAAAGGATTGGGAAGTATTATTCATCAGCTTGTTTAAAAAAATGCATTTGAATTCATATTTATAGCTTTATGCAAATATAAATATTATGAAGTAAGAATAAACACTGTGACTTAAAGTATTTCATTCCAAAAGTTTGTGGAAACCTTTAGAAGTGGGCAATAGAAAATCGCACTGCCTGATTTTATTTATGACCTATCCCTTGAGGAGTGGGCAGACCAGAAAATTTGTGCATTTCTTCAGAAGTCAGCTTCATCTGGGAATAGAACAAGGTGTGAAACTGAGAGTAATGTGGTTGACAGTGAGTTAGTGTAATTTAGATTATTTTTCTCTTAGTTCACAGAGCCTTCAGAGCTACCAAAAAACTCATAATAGAATTCCCTCCAAAATGCCAGAATTAGACATTTCTTCAAAAGTTGAATAGAAGTGTGTGTCTTGAGAAGTTAATGTTGACTTTAACTAGAACAAAGAAATTGTAGTTGAATATAATTGAGCAAAGCACGAAAAGCAAATTATACTACTTTAAAAAAGCAGAATGAGTTAATACATCTGGGCAATTTATCACTGGTTTTACTGAGATTTTTAAAACGTCTGAGAAAGCTTATGACTTTTTATAGTAGAAGAAAAAAGTGCTCAGTAACTCTTTAAAGAGACTTACTAATTTGTGATTTATACATCAATTTCAAATAAATATACTCAGCACAAAGAAAATATTCAATTAATAAGATTTATTTGAAATGAATTCCTTTAGTTTCTCCATCAGTATTTTCATTATTCCATACTGGAATGGCTTTTAAAAAATTGTAGGGTGATTTACTTAAAATTCAGAATTTTACAAAAGTTAGAATTTTAAAATTTAATTTTCTACCTTTTTCTGCACTATTTATGAGGTGGTAGGATAAAGAGAAAAATATAGAACACTACTATATTTAGAAAATATCTTTTGAAAAATGTTCCTTTCTTTTCAAAACAAACATCCTTATTAAGGGTTACCACATGAAATCTTTTTTTGAATCTCTATCTAGATTGCAGGAACTCAGCCTGAATTAAATATACAAAATTTATATCTCTTAATTTTAGTCAAGTTTTTAATATTTTAATATAGAATCATCCTTTGTTGGAATGCAATTAAGACAGGAAGGAAAGAAGTAAAATATAATGTATATTACTATGATTTGGAATTTTTGTAAACATACTGATGTATCTATATCAAATTCAAGAAGAAAATGTTCTTGAAACTTATTGAAAGACACATAAGTGATTCGGTCCAGTAAGCTAAGATGAAAAAGATTTGGAAGGCCCATATTTTCCCCTAATAAATGTTTTAACATGGCTCTAGGATCTTCCCTGTATGATAAAAGAACACAATATAATATCGATATGAATTGAGCTCCAGTATTTCAATAACTACAAATATCTTACAATTGGAGACACATTTACTATTAATATATACTATATATTTAAACCATATGCTCTAGTTCCCATGTCACCAACTGACAATGGACTATGTAACTCATATATTTTGCTAACTTGGCCCACCTAAAACTGAACTCTTCTAAGAAATAGCTTCTACTCCTGTCCTTATTTCATTACTACTACCAACTGCCTCCTATTTTTCTGGACTAGGATTATCCAAGTCATATTTGACTCCAAGCTCTTTTCATTCACCTTTTTTATCTACACAGTAATTTATAGAAGTCTATAAACCTTTAAACCTTTCTTTGTACACCCTGTAGAATCCTTCTTTTTTCCATTCAAACTTCCATTGCTTTAGTTCAGAATGCTATCAATTCAATCTTAAACTTTTACCAATACTTTCCAAACTTCTGTCTATATCTCTAATATAATTTCTTTAAAGACATTCTGTCCATTGCTGCCACATTAATTTTCCTTAAATATGATTTTCATCCTACTGCTTGTATGTTTGATAACTTGGACACCTTCTAGCCCTGAATTTTAGGTTTCCTAACTGTGTGACACTGGATATCACTCATCGGTCTCAATTTCAAATGTGAAAATGAAGGTGTTGGACTAGATAGTCTCAAAGTTCATGCTACCATGTATGTTAATCTCAGATTGTGTAATTCTGTTTGCTTCCCAATCTATAGTATCTAAACAGCCATTCTCAAACTTGGCTGCACAGAATAATTACCTGCCGTATCATCATTTTTCCATCTGTCCCTCCTCTACATTCCTCTTCCTTCTCCTCTACCTTCTCCTGTGCCCCAGGAGGATCTTTCACACAGTGCACCATCTGGGTTCTCTTGCCCATAGTTTTTCCCAGGATTTGGCCAATGGGAAGCACTGAGAGGAGACAAGTGGACAGAAAGAGAGAGTCAGAGTAATTTTCCTTAGCCTTTTTCTATTTGGGAATCACATCTCTAGCAGTAGTTTTGACCTTCTGTGACTATATCTCCTGCCAGGAGGCCAAATGGATTCCAGATGTTAGTAATTTCTGGCCACCTTCTCCTTAACATGGGTTTGTTGCATTAACCTTGTTCAAACTCTTGCAAGTTGTCCTTCACTCAAGTCTCTTCATTTCAATTGTTTTCTGGGACCCTGATCAATGTATGTCAAAAGATTTTTTATTATTATTATTATTAATACTAATGCTCAGACCTTGCTTCAGATCAATCAAATCAGAAACCTTGGGTATAGGTCCTGGGTAGAAGTACTTTATAAAAGCTCCACCTGGTAGATTATAAAGTCCAAACATTTTACATCTCACTCAAGTCTGTGTGTAATCTGATATTAATCAATCTTTTGGCCTAGCAAATATAGAGAAAATTCTCTCACTACACAATTTTGCTAGTTAATAATTTTGCCAATAGGCTAATTTAAAGAAACATGGGCAAGAAACATAAACAAGTATAAATAAATAAAACACAAACTGGACCTACTTCTTACATGCTGAAAAAAATGTTTACCAAATGTCGCAATAACCAGCATTAGGAAGAATTATTGGAACAAAAACATCTGGAAAGAGGTGACTTTAGAGTTAATGAAATATATTTGAGGGGGGAGATCTCTCAAGGTATCATATATTTCTTTGGTATCTCATACCTTTGAAATGTAAAGTCACAAAATGTCATTTACATCATTTTCTAGTCCGGTATATTTCTCTTTTCACTTAATCAATTATTAAGAAGTCTCACATTGTACTTCCATATTCTTTCACTTGCCTTGATTACCATTGGTTTACATGCTAACAATCAGAGAAATAGATCAATAAGTTGTTAGTGTGAATAGAAGAGATACTACCATTCTTTATTTACACAAGAACTAGTGATGTTTGGGGTGAACACATGGTGGTTAGTATATTTAGGTATTTACAGATCTAGTATTTTAAGATGCTTTCAGATCTTAATTATGTGACAGATAACTTCTTCCCTTGTGTCTGTCATAAAGGCCTGTTTTAACTCTTTTTATCTCAGCTAGGTAGCCACCATTAACTGCTGTTGGGAAGCAGTTTCAAATCAGCAGGTCAACCCAATCTTTTGAAGATAGAGCCATTTATCCAATAGTCAGAACACCAACCACAAGTAACCAGAACAGCACAAATTTGATGTTGGGAGCTGGCCATTAAAACAGGGCTAGGGCCGGCCGAGTGGCGCATTGGTTAAGAGCTGGCTTGGGACGTCAGAGGGCCCTGGTTTGGATCCCACATATGAGGGCCAGTGACACTGCCCTCTACAGCTAAGATGCTGAACAACAGCTCA